CTGCGCCGACTGGACAGCCCTTATATCATATCATACATTCATTCATGGTATGAATGCCCAAACATCGAGATTATTCAACTACAATATAGTCTTTATACCCTGAAAACATTGGCCCAGTTTAAATCAACAGTATTTAAGCGTGATAGCTCAGATAATTATGACCCTGTTGATTATTTCATATCATGCAAATTGCTGGAAGAACTTCTAAATGGCCTAGATTACATGCACCAACTGAATATTGTTCACCGTAATTTAAACCCTGATAATATTTTGGTGGCAATCGATGACACCAAGTGTTTTTTAAAGATTGCAAACTTTGATTACGCTCAGGGTATAGGTGATGATGACCCGGATATTATCACTGCCATAAATCCATACCTGGCCCCTGAAGTTGCGAGAGATCGTAAATTTAGTACATTAGCAGATATTTATAGCCTTTCCCTGATATGTGAGCTAGATCTATTTGATGTCGAGTTTTTTGAGTAAGTATATTTTAAGTATNAGGGTATAGGTGATGATGACCCGGATATTATCACTGCCATAAATCCATACCTGGCCCCTGAAGTTGCGAGAGATCGTAAATTTAGTACATTAGCAGATATTTATAGCCTTTCCCTGATATGTGAGCTAGATCTATTTGATGTCGAGTTTTTTGAGTAAGTATATTTTAAGTATAATTTATTTATTGTACCCAAACATAAGCATAGAGTAAATAAATACCGGTATGTTACATAATAACTTTATTAGCAAACTATTAATAAACAGTTCCCGGATTTATTTGCAAATTACAAGAATAGTATCAGGATATGTGGTATTAATATCACATAATTAGTACACAATGAAAACAAATAACACATTAAAAGCATTTACTTACTGTATTATAGCATTCAATGGTTTTATAGCATTGATAGGATTATTTATTTAATTTATAGAGAAGCCTATAAAATAATAATTAAAAATTAATAGTATAACAAAAGTTACTTTTCTTAAATAAATAATATAATTTGTTTAATTAAAATCACAGCAGTAGTGACATCGCATTCAGCAGCACCGGTATGCGGGATGAGATCATTCAGAGCCTATTTAATGTACTCATATCGGCCCAGACATCACCCGATTGGCACCAGCGGCTCAACGCACAAGAGATACTGGAGTTAAGGGACCAGTTTATGTTGCACCCGGATGAAATCATTGACAATTATATTGCCAGGTTTATTATACTCAACGACATGGAGGAGTTTACATTTTGGCACATTTTTCTAAATAGAAAACTTTTTAATAATTAGACAATAATTAATAATTATTATTATTAGTCATTTTTCTGTCTATTATTTTTATACTTTTTTTTATATGAAACTGATGTGAATTGTCAGGGATGCAATAAATGGACTTTAAAATAATATAATGTAATCATAGTCTGTTATCATCTCTATTTATTTTCATTTTAAAAAATTAGATTATGTGAATAAAATTAATTTGATGATTTTAGTTTTTATGCAGTATTTTGTGTACAATAAACTGTAACATAATTACAATTTTTTATAGGTAGTAGATAGTTACGTGACTAATATAAAAATTGGATTGATTGGTCGTTTACTTTAAACTACCTTTTTAATTAAACATTTAATATTTTAGTTAATAAAATAATAATATTGTACATTTGAAATATGTCTCAGATATTTATTTCAATGTCATTAATGATTGCTCATATCTATTGACCGCCAAAAATATGAGGTAAGGTCGCAGAAATCTCCAATGATTTGTGTGATTATAATCGTTATCTCATCGCAGATAATGAACTCATTAGGAAAATACCCTTTAATACTGACAATGAGATTACAGTATATTTCATATAATTTGATTATGAATTTTTTAATCATTGCATGTCTTATTATAACATTTATTCGTGTATATTTTTATATAATTTTTTATAAACTAAGTTACTTAATTATTTATAATAGATATCACAAACTTAACATTTTAGTTACATCAATTTAACATATTTATTTATTTTTTGATTCTTAAAATAATTGTTTTAATTCTTATGATATGAATACCTGTCCACTCATTGTTGAGTGAACCGTATGCTGGCAACGACCACGTTGAAAATTAAAGTGAATAATTAATATTATATTATATAAAGATTGAATTTATAATCAATTTAGTAAAAGAAAAAACACTTATGAAAAATTATTGTTTCAAACACTACAAGATCATTTTGTAATATATTTATTAATGTGTGAGAAATTAATATTTAAATATAAAATATTTTTAGGTTAGTTAAAATTATGCAGTGTATTTATTAAAAAACATGTATGAATTTAATATTATTCACATTATTAAATGATATTAAAATTTTGTTTTAAATTTTAAAATGTAGTTTATATATAATAAAATACTAAAGTGCTTTTAAAAGTTGATATATTGTAATATTGTTAATTTTAAATATTTATTTTAATTTAAAAACTTAAATCATGTAAATATGAACTATAAGTTATATAAAATTCAATGAAGGCATAGCAGTTAACTAATACATATTGGCCGTCAAAATGGACAGTAAGGTCGCAGAAATCCTCAATGATTTGTGATTATAATCGTTATCTCATCGCACAGTTCGTGCAGATAATGAACTCTTGAGGAAAATACCGGTGAATACTGACAATGAGATTATACCGCATATGACCTCAATATCACGTCTCCATTCATAGTAATAATACGTTTGGCATTCACTTCAAGAGTACCTTTCATATCGTAATTTCGCAAAAATTTTATGTATTAATGTAATAAAAATTAATTTGTTTTTTATTAGATAAATCAAAAGTGTTAAAAATCTTATAAAACATTTAATATTTAGATGGAATTAGTTTAATTAATATCTTTTATCTACTTGCTAAAGTATAATCACTAAAAACTTATACTAATAAAAGTTTTTCCTAAAAGTATTTTTAAATTTATTTAAATTATATGAATAATTTATTTAAATATTAGGACTATAATTGAGTTAATAATTTGTATATATAAAGGTTTTAAATAAAGGTATTTAACTATAGATTAGACCTTTTATATAACAATAATAATATTATAAAATCAGTGATAATACAGATGTTATCTAATAAAATATCAATATATGATATTAATTCCCAGTCCTTGATATACACGGAAATTAATAGTATTTTATTTTAAATTCATTCTAAACCTTAAGAAAAATATTAACATCATATGATATGCAATAGTGAATAGTGTGTTGAAAAATTAAAAATTACATTTTAATGTTAAAAGCTAAGTGAAAAGTGAAATTAATTTTTTATGTAACTTTGAAACTCATAATTTTGGTATTTTTCAACAAATAATTTATTCACACCACTCGTTGGTTTGTCATTGTATTCATTAGATTACCATTCATTTGGTAATTAATACACATTTTCTAAGGCCTGGTGTGTGTTTTTAGTAAGGAATGGGTGGTTCCTATCGGGAAAGTTATATAAATACTTGTGGTATAAGCGGGTGAATAGATTTTTCTATTGAGTTATTATTACAAATCATATTTTTATTAGAGATAAGGTTTTATTGTATTGTATTAGAAAGTGTTAATCTAAAAGTTTTAGAGATTATTGTTTTTAAATTATGTATAAAATACTAATATCTTTACTACTGGTGCTATCCATAGCCCACAAGTCGTGTCTATCATCAAACATCAAAGGATGTCGACTGAGGTATGAATTTATGATTATTTAAATATTTTCTATATTAAGCTATTAAATTGAACACTAAAATTGTATGCTAGTTTATTTTTCTTTTTAACAGTTAAATAAACATTTAATCACTGAATATTTTTAAATACAAGATATAATATTAGTAATAATAGTATTTTTATATTATAATTTCTTGATTGTAATTCTAATAATAAAATTGTACTTGTATTTTATTTAGTTAAGAGTTATTAAGATTTATCTAATAAATAATTAAATATTTTCATTTCAGGTAATTTTTAAAGCATCTGTTTAATAAATTAATAATAATTTTGTTCATTTAATGTTAATGATAGTAAAATTAAATAACTTCTTAAAAGTGAACAATTGATAACAATGAAATAAAATTTAATTAATAGTGCTAAATATTGTCAATATATTAGATGCACTTTTATTACTCTTAATAGTTGTGTTTAATTGTTGTGAACAATTTATGTGTACAAGTAAACTTCAAATAATTTAAGATTTTATTTAATTATAGAGATTTAATTGTTGTTTACAAAGCTTCTAGGTATAATTGGTGTCGAAACAAATCATATTTTATTGATACTTCAATATTGTTAAAATAAATTTTTGCGTCAACACTTTTTAGATTTGTTTTTTAACAAGTTTATATCAGATTTGATCAAAAAATAACTTCTTTATCCTTGAATTTGTTTTAAATATAACCACACTAATACCAGGGGTGGATAATTTATTGTATTTTTCCATAAGTTTTTACATCTTATACAAACAATTAAAATTTCCAAATTATTTCAGTAATAACTAAAACTATAAATTATAGCATGTACAATATTTTTGAATATATAATAGAATAACTATGCTTTTCCCTATTTTATAATTAACCCCCTTATAGGTAAATGTAAGATAAATATATGCTTTAGTATAATTTATAAATTGAAATGACTTTTTTAATGTTTATAATTCATTTCTAATTGATATGTAAGTGATTTTATACCGAGAAACTAGTTTTATGTTTGAAATTCTTGTTTCTCTTTATAATTATTGCAAACAACAACATATCAGAAGTGGTTTGACTGACTGATCGCTATTTGATTTGATGTTTGAATGAAAAATACATTTTCATTGAAATATACATTTTAATCACAGTATTCCCTCATATTGTAGACATTGAGTGCTAACCTTAATATCAATTTAGTATAAATTTTCGTGTATTTGTGTTAAGAGATTATGTTGTCTACGGTTTTGTTAGTGCTTTTGTTAAGCAATTATTGTTTGGCACAAAATGATAGCAAAAAATGTCGCCTAAGGTTTGACTTAAAATTTATTATTTTTAATAAAATATACTTTGCTAAACATGATTGCATACCTTTCCCTACAACCCATTCCCCTTACCCCTGTGCACCGGTAGTCAACTGGAGACGAAGTTGCGGTCACTTATTGGACAGTTCGGTATGAGAGACCATAAATGGCCGGAGACTGAGGACGAGATGCAGTTGTGGTGCAAGTATTGCAGCATTTTTTACAAATATCTATATTTTCAAAATTTTTATATTAATAATTGTTATACTAGTTAATTTAGAATTTATTCATTATATTTATTTTAAGTATATTATTAAACGGGCACTTTAGCATTTTAATATACATTTAATTTTCTAGAATAATAAAGTTATTTTTAATTATTTATGTGATGGAGTTAATTGTAATATTTTAGTTGATTTTATTTAATAATTAAGATTTTAGGTAGTAGTACATTAATTAATATGGATTATAATTTTATTAATATTTTTAAATTCAGTTACATATCAGTCCCATACATTTTGTACTCATATGATCAATATACCTTTCCCTCACTAAATAAGTATTTTAAGAGGAAAGTGTACATTTTTTTATTACTTTTTATTTCAAGTTTGAAATCATAAATAAAAATCACTTTGAAGGCACATGCTAATGCATATACCTGTCCATTGAGTACATAAATACTTTTCTAAAAATATATCAAATATGATAAATTAGTATTCAAATACTTTTAACACTTTCCGACGACTAATATATTTTTGAATTTATTTGACGACAAAACGAAAGGTCATTACCTAAGGAGGGATCGGCGGCTAAATCCTACTCAAAGAAGTGTCTGAACGGCATGTCCGGTACAATAGTGTCGGTGTCTATATTTGCGGCCGACAAAGTAGGCCGGGGCTACTGTAATAACAAACAGGAAAGGGCCGGTTATATTGCTAGAGGTCCGTGCGGTAATAAAGCCAAGTCCGGTACCGCCCGGTGCTGGTCTAACCTGATTAACGTCATGTCAAATATCAAGAATATGTCTGTGAATACAGATAAGATACCATCAGTTTGTTGGTATGTATTTCAGAGAGAGAGAGAGAGAGAGAGAGAGAGAGAGAGAGAGAGAGAAATTTAGTAAAAATAAATTAGCATTGGTATAACATTATAAATTATCATGTTCATAATTAGCATAATTTATTATACTGTATTTAAATAGTAACATATAATAATATTTTAATTTATTAGTGTTGGTATTAGGTGTGAAATTGTTTTACAATTATCCCTAATTAAAAGTATTTTATACTTTGTTTAAAGTATTTTGTTCAGGTTAATTTTGGATAATACTAAATATGTATTAAATATTTTATATTTAAAAAATTTTAGTGCATTTTTCGAGTGGAGGGACTGTTCGATAGAGGTGTACAACAAAGTAGGCGAGCCCGTGTGCACGACTCAAATGGTGGAGGGCTTTCAGACCCATATCGGCCGGGGATCACTCGACCCCTTAAACATATTGTGCTCCGATTATGACGAGTCCGACAAATGCGACAAATTTAAGGCCAAATTCGTGAGGACTGCCCCCTCCAAGAGGTATAGGACCCCATTCCCCGCGATTATCGAGGTGTTTGAGTCGCTGTAGGGATATGAGTTAAACAATCATTATTTATAATCAAAATAAAATTTTTCAAATAACCTTGCTCACTGTAATTGCAAAAATACATTATGTTACAAGATAAATTTTTCTTATGATAAGATTTCTAGAATTCTTAAGTAGTTTAAATGTTTTATGTTAAATCTATTGTTTCTATGTTCAAGATCATTTTAATTTATTGTTCGCTACATTTGTGTAATTCAATTTATGTTTGTATTTTCTTATGTTATGTATACTTTAATAAACTTATTAAATTATTTAATTTTAAAAATAATATTGCTTATTTTTTGTAATATGTTCTAAGGATTAACAATTTTAAAAATACTAAAATTTTGTTGTTTATATTATTATTATATACAGTATATGTTTCAGTTAAGTAAGATATCATGTGATTAATTATTAAAGCATCCAAATCCAGTTATTTAACTATTTGTTGAGATATCGGAGAACTTCATGAGATTAAGTATGCATACGAATCATGTAATAAAGGTCATTTTAGGAGACTTTTATTTTACCTATAAATAACTATTTGATGGGTTCGTAACTATTTTAATTATTTTAGGTATTTATGCATAATTAGGGCAAAAATGGTAAAATTTAAGACAATCTTTATAAAAATAATTATTTTAATGAATAAAATAAACTATAAATTTAATTGATTTTAATTTCATACAAATACAAAATATACTGTAATTCTACAAATATACTAAAACCTTTAAATCCCTTCGTTTATAAGAAATCAAAATTGCATTTTTCTTTAGATATTTATTTAATCCTGTTTAGGGACTAAAATATGGTTATATTTACGAGTTAATCGATGAGAATAGTTAATTAATTGTCAAAATTCATAAATAATGCAAATTATTTGTCATTATATTCAGTTATAAAGTGATTTTACCTAAAAATTTAGAAGAATAAATAACTATTTAACCAACTATTTGACCACTTTTTGTTAACTATGATAGTGACTATAAGGGTCTTTTATACCACCTAGATTTGGATGCTTTATTAATTATTATACTGTAAGTTATAAACTCGATATAACTTTCAATTTTAGCATAATTACGATAAAATCCCCTTTTTGTATGAATTTCCCTTGAATTGTGTTTGAGTTCAAGAATATAATTATACTCTTATTGAATGAAAAGTTTTTATATAATATTCACATCTATCATTTATTTATGTTAAAATGGATTTTCCACTAAAAAGTAATCAAACACATTAAAAACTTATTCCAGTTTATTCGTGGTTATAATTATATTAAAGTAAACTTTGTTGCTTGATTATCTAGAATTTATACCAAGTTACATTTAAGTCATTCATTAGTAAATTCATGTTAAAATATTTATTGAATCACTTTATGGTTAAAACACAATTCTTTGAAATAAATATCAATACATAGAAATAATTTGATATATCAATGCATTTTGAAATAAGTCATAAAAAACTTAATAAATATGAGAGACTTTCTAATTATACGTATTTTTCCCGTAATTAAGAGAAATAGTTTTGTAACTAATAAACAGAATTTATCTGAAAACCAGTTTTCAAATAACTAATCAATTATAATGATTGTACATATTTACACACTTTTGAGCAAATTATATCAAATAATAAAATTTATTGTAGTTTTTGAAGTTTTTGTTTAAATGATATGTGATGTGATACAACTAGTGATACAAATATGAGACTAATTGTTATCATTGAGTTTATAACACTGTGTTTATGTAATATAAATTGTGCCAAAAATAATTGTAGATTAAGGTAAGACAACAAAAATTAAATTTATTTTAATATAATAATGGTAATATTAATTATTTATTAAATGTTAGTACCCTGGACAATACTATGAAACCGCTAACCAGGATGATTAGAGATAAAAATGCTAAATGGCCTGAGAATGAACAACAAAAACATGACTTTTGCAGGTTTAATTATCTTGACATTTTGTTTAAGTACCTTTAAATACTATTATTACATTTTAATTTTTTTAATTTTGTAAAATAAATCTACAATTATAACTCATTGTATTAGTGAAAATATATAATGGCAGTTTGTATAATATTTATTTAATATTTATTTAAAATTATATTTAAAACTACTTTTAGGCACAAATACGATTACGTAAGCAAAGCAAAGGAGCACATACGTCAGTGTTATCAGGGTATATCAGCATCATTATTAAGGTTGTCAGTGGATGGTATTGAAAAAATGAATGTTAAGATGTCGTGTAAAAGTGATGCAGAAATGAAGCGCTTTTTAAACCGGAGTCGATGTGGAAATAGCGGCAAAAAGTCGGCCGCAGATTGTTATACAAATTGGACGCAAACTCTATCTATGATTCGCAACATTAGCGACAGTACTAAACGAGTGCCCGCTTTGTGTTGGTATTGAATCTCTTTATAAAACTTTACTTAGCATCTTGGTTAAGTTATTGAATTTCTTATTAATACTGGTATTTATTTTATAATTTGTGTAGAAAATTTTTATGTATCATAATAGAAAGTTATTTAATAAGTTTGCAGGTATTTTTAGTAAAATATAAACAATCATAAGTTTGTGAAAATATATACTCAAAATGAATTATACTCATGGTGTTCTGAAGCCAGTATAATAGATTTATAACCATGCTTAAATTACAGCAAGTTTCCTTTTATAATTTGACAGCCTAGATTTACATCACGAAAATATGTTTAAAAATTTAGGATTTATTTTTATTTTTGATATTTTATGTCTTATTTATACGAAAAACTATATTAATATTCATGAAATTATTAACGAAAGCTCAATAAACGATTGGATCCGCTGTTCACACGATGTCTACCGTATTATCAGCACAAAGGTGTGTCCGAAGAGGACCGTCGACGAGTTGGACAATTTCATCCGGCACTCGACTGTCGACCCCTTGAATATCATTTTCCATTGCAATGATGAACACAATAAGCCGGACTGTAAAGCCGTCAAAAAACTAATACCCAGGACATCCAAACGTAATAATAATAATAGTAATAAACAGCGAAAATATTCCACACATTTTCCATCAATTTTAGATATTTCTCACTCATTGTAAACTCATTGTCAGTATTTAGTAAAGAGTTTTAAAAATTCATTATCACTTAAATAGTATTTATTTTTAATTTTCATGGATTAGTATTTGATTGACTTTGAAGTAATGCTATAACGTATGTTTTATAAAGTTATATACCTAAACCTATTAAATTTTAATAAAATTAAAATCCTCAATTTTATTTTTATTGGCATATGATACCTTGGCAAATTTATATATTATATGATATTATTTTACTTTTCACATTACTTGCATTATTATGGTTACTAGAACAATGAATTAGTAAAAATAAAAATTGTAAATTTTTTAAATAATGTATACTTTCATGATACTCATATTAAGATACTGTATCACTTAACCTTCAAAGAATGAAGTTCATATAAATTTTATACATTATACAGTAAAATATTTTCAATTAGCATTACTGTCAAACATATTATTTACCATTATTAAGTAATTTATTTTATGTGATAGAAATAATATTGTTTATTAAATGTAATAAAAAACCTGTTTTAAATTAAAGGCTTGAGATTTATACAAGCAAATTCTTTGGAAAATCATTACAAAAAATTCTGATTTAATACATGCACCATTATACTTGTTTACTATTTTTGCCACGGCATTAATATTTTTGCAATTTTTGTTTTGACAACCTAGTGTTAGCAATATGAATTTTTATAAAATTTTGACAACTTTTATAATAATTGTCTTAATAAATGGAGCATGTTCACTTGAGAAGGGATGTAGAATGAAGTAAGTTACAAATAAAAATTATTCAATAAATTAAAAACGTTTTTAATTCTTAATGAATTTCTATCTCACAATAAGTATACTTAGTTTATTGATAATTATTCTTTATTCTTATTTAAAAGTGTTCTTGATACCAAATTAAAGAATGTGCTTAAATTTGTGGCATCATTGGATCACAAGTTTCCAAAAAATGAAAATGAATATGCCACTTATTGCAAGTATGAACTCTCTCTCTCTCTCTCTCTCTCTCTATCTCACTCACTCACTCACTCACTCACTAATAAATGAATACAATTTATATGAAGACAAATGCGAGCCGATGTAACCGATAGCCGAAACTACATGAAAAAGTGCACCAAAGATGTTGCAAAAACTCTATTGTCGGTGACATTGCATTCAGTCGAGAAAATGACAGTCAAATCGCAATGTAAACAGCGAACTGAGAAAAGGAGATTTCTCTCATTTAGTAATTGTGGTAATACTGGACACAAGGAGATCGCGAAGTGTTGGCAAAATAACACTAAAAGAATTACTGCAATCAATATTAATGGAACCAAAAGTAATACTAAAATACCACTCATGTGTTGGTCAGTGAATCAATTAATTTATAAAACTATTCAATTGTATGATATATATTCAATTAACTAATTTATGATGTAGGTACAAGCAATAGATAAATAACCTAATAACCAAAATGACATAAAACATTTGTTATATGCCTAATCGTTTAATAATTTTAAATATTTTACATGCAGATAAATTAATTAACATTTTTTGTGGTTATATTTTGTGCTAGTTCCCTTATTCAGTGGAAGAATTGTGTACTGGCTTCATTAAGTAATAAACCTGATAATGTATGTTCAGTGAAGGATCTGGAATATATTGAGCAGTTCATTGAGAAAGGTATGTTAGACCCGATGAACATGGTTTGTGCGGAATACGACGATTCGGATAAATGCGATAAAATACTCAAACAATTGCCTAAAATAGACTCAATTAAACTCAAATACTCGACATTATTTCCGGCAATTGTCGAGATGTTTGAGTCACTATAAGATTTTAAGTTGTACTTGGACATTCTCATAAACTGCATTATAACTTATATAAATTGCATCAAAATATATTATATCCTAAAATTTTATTATTTTTATTTAACCCATAATCATTTTTTGAGTAATAATAATTGTTAATATAAAGTATTTTTATATACAATTATTAATTATTTAAATCAAAAATTATTATATTATATTATTATAAAATTATTATCATAAGTTTAATATACAATTGGATGTGCACATTTTACATTGCTTTTAGATAGTTCTCAAACATTGTAACTCATTGTCAGAATTTATTAAAATAAAAGTTTTGATAAATCTGATTCA